GCACAATTTCATTGTGCACTCTGAAGCTGTGAAAGAAGTGCAATGCCATTTCAGTTTGAAGATCTGAAACGAGTCCTTGTAAAATCGAAGGAAGACTTGGAGTTTGCTAAGGAAGACATGAAGAATGGTGAGACACCTGCCCGCAAGAAGGCATTAAAAAAGGCTAATCAGAAATACGAAATTCAAATGAAGGCGGTTTGTTTATAGCCAGTGTAATTAACTGAATTTACAACAGTATCCCAAATGGGTTTCAGCTGGACGATTTTATAACTGGTAAATTGGCCGATCTGAAGAATGAACACGTCAAGGAGATCGAGATGATCATCACTGAAGCCCAGGTGAACCTCAGAGCGTATTTTATGAACAAAGTTCTGGGTCAAACGGGCCTATTTTTTGTGATCTTAGTGGGTTTTTGAAAAACGGTAGTGGTATAAAATCAGTGACGAGAGATGAATGAGTAGAGGTGGCGTCTTTAGGTCGCAGTCTTATTGAACTGCTAAATTTTTCATTTTATAGTGATATGGGATACTTTTCACTCCTTCGAGGAAAAACAGGCGGACAAGCGTGAAGTAATATCTGTGGAATTCTTTACGGTCGCTTATTTCACAGCACAGAAGCTTTTTGTAGTTATTCCACTGTTCCTCACTACACCTAATAACACTAGAAGGAAAAACTGTTATCTAGACGAGATTGCTCGTTAAATCGCACGGAAAGTTGCTGGCGTCGAAAATGCATATCACTTGTTTTGCGGTGACAGAGCGCATAAGAGCCAGTATGAATTGATTTCAATTCATGGTGTATGTGGTTAAAATTGATCGCCACTTAGATCCGATAGCAAGCCGGATATAGGCGTGAGACATTAAGTGGTAACATGGCNTGCTCGTTAAATCGCACGGAAAGTTGCTGGCGTCGAAAATGCATATCACTTGTTTTGCGGTGACAGAGCGCATAAGACCCAGTATGAATTGATTTCAATTCATGGTGTATGTGGTAAAAATTGATCGCCACTTAGATCCGATAGCAAGCCGGATATAGGCGTGAGACATTAAGTGGTAACATGGCCTTTACAACCCCACTGCCGGACAATCCCAAAAGGGTGTACTGTTTGGCAAGAAATTTCTAGAGTTTCTTGCCACTTATATCTCAACAAGTAGAAAGGAGGATGCCATGAAAAAGTTTTAATCAAAAACCGTTCTGGAGCTATGAAATCATTAAGTACGAAAAGCTTAAATGACGATGCTAGGAGTAGCTGGATCTTTTTCAGTGTTATCACGATTGGATGGCTTCGTACTGTAGGCCGTTGGCCAGTTACAATGTGCCACCACCAGCGAGCCTTTAGAGAGGTGATCGTGGCAAAGAATGAAACAACACATCTCATATTGTTCTTATATACCGAATAACATTTAAGATGGTGTTTGTGACAGTTGACTGGAGTGCAGCTCGTTGTTGTTGCTTGCGTGAATTGCATACAACCAACTAGTCCAAAGCATATGACTCGAGAGGAGGAAAATCCCATTGCCAAGTTGTGACTTGATTGCCCGGTGAGTCCATATAGAGGCCATCCTGCTTGATAAACCTGAAATTACCATCACTATGATAGAATGCCTATTACCAATTTACAGTGATAAAAAGTTAGTTACCGTCCTTCTAAAGTGTCACATTAGCGATATAATAAGTTAATCCCTTAGCACTTCCAGGTTTTTTCTATGCAATACGTTTTGACTTGTGAACTAGATGTTCTAGTTCCTTTAACATCGATTTGATTTGATTGAAGTACTTCCGATATAATATGGTCACTCAATTTGATACGATATTCTGCTGAAAAGCTCATGTAACAAACCATGACAATTCCATAATTCCTACAGAAAGTTGTAACTAAGAATGCATAGACTGAATGCTGATGAAAGGTAGAAATTATAAGAACAAATTTCCGCCCCGTAGCTAGCCTCACGCGTTCACCTTTAGCGTGAACAAAACTTGAAGGGGCAGCTCAATCTACTTGTTTGAATAGGCTTGGGCAACCTCTTTGACTATTGGTTTTGTGCATAATTTCGACTCTAAGTGAATCTGAATCTAAGAGTCAAAATTCACAAAGGATTGAGCTGCTTGCAATACAAAAGCGGGAGGCACTTCTCCACCAGAAGCGGTCCATGGAGACGGTCATCGTGCTCAATTTTTTTTTTGAAGCTCTATGTACTCATATGCTCGCCCTTCGTCTAATATATACTGAGGATTATTGAATAGAAACCTTTTCGGTGATTGATAGTACGCAGACTGAACCATAATTACCGATGTCGTGTTGGTTTCTCTTCACACAAATTCTACGGGTTTCTCATAAATCAGAAATCCTGAATTCTGAGAAGCCTGAAAGTTCTATATTATGGAGTGTTTAAGAGTACTGGCAGCAGGTAGGAAGTTTTCATATTTTTGAATCTAACCCTTGGTGAATCGGATATCGTGCGGTTCATGATTGTCGAGAGGATATGCCGATTTTAAAGGGGATAACCACTGGAATGACATACCACGTGTGAAATGAAGACTGTTCACAGAGTGGTCCAAGTAGTGGTCGTGAATGACAACGAGCAAGTTTTTTTCCGTATTTCATGATACATACATTTTCCCTTTTCTCAGTATCCTCGGAGGTGTTTGTTCCTAGTATAGACGTTTCATTATGACATTACGCAGAAGAGAAAGACAAATTGGAAAACGGAGATTTTCTGTTGTCTATTATAGATACGTAACAAAAGCCTGTAGAGTTCAGAGCTGTTGGAACCAGTACTGTGAGAATTACAGCAACATGTAGTCAGTGTGGCGAACACTTCTGTTTAGAATTTCAAAATAAAATGCCAGCCAGATTCCATCGAGGTGAAGCGTGTCATCGATAATCCGTGTACTTCATGAGCTTCATACCACACAGTAGAAGGAATATCTACGGCAAAAGAAGAAACCAATAGGTAAAGGTGTTGCCCATGGTGCCCCACATGCGATACACATTCGATCTTCGGGTTCTATTTTCCCTGTTGGCTGACAAATATCAGGATTCGCCCCAATTTTTAGCGGAATCCGAATCGCAAGGCTGCAAGCCTCCATGCGATCCACAAGGGTCGGTGAGTGGCCTGTGGTGATTACAGTACCAGACACTCCTTACCCAGATGTAGTCTGTGCACGCACAGCCACGAGCCACGATTGAAATAAAGCACAAGTATACGTGACCTCCCGAAATGCTTTCTTTTTTTGCAATCATTAAACACTTGCACAATGACTGCCACGACCGACTTTCTATTAACCTCGGCATTGATCAAGTGATTTTCTTCGTATTTTTGTTGAGCAAACGCGAGGTGTTACTATTCTTTGTTCACGATTAAGCTGACATTTCGGCGGATTTCGCCTTCTTCAGAGCTGCTATCTATGAGGTTTCCACTAAATATGTCACGTAGAGACCAACCGCACAGAAATCACGTGGAAGTATAATGTAATCATTATAGTATAATCATTATACTTCCACGTGATTTCTGTGCGGTTGGTCTCTACGTGACATACTTAGTGGGAACCTCATAGATAGCAGCTCTGAAGAAGGCGAAATCCGCCGAAACGTCAGCTTAATCGTGAACAAAGAATAGTAACACCTCGCGTTTGCTCAACAAAAATACGAAGAGAATGTATTAATGTAGAGCTGAACTATTCACAGATGTCTCGGAATTCACACGGAATCAACATCGTTTGTTGAAAAATCCACAAACCCAATCCACTTTGTTACTGCGTGGAAAGAGCAGCGTTAAAAAGAGGAATAGGTAGCACTTTGCAGATGTTTCTATTCAGAAGAATCTCTCGGAAGCGCTGCTCATTTCGGTTATTCCGCATATCCACTCTAAAGAGAGGATATGCCCCAAGTGAAATCAATGGGACCAACCAATGGAAGTGCCACCAGTTCGGCTGGATTAGTATCAAAAACATCAGCGGCTCCTAATGTCTGCGTCAATCAAACTTTCTGCCTCTACCATGTTCGTTGTATTTCTCGCCCTATTCAGGGCAATTTTTTCATGCGATTGACATTTAAAGCCATTTTAGATGGCTTTCGTGCTTGAGAAGGTAGTTTTACAAGAAATCCAAGCACGAACCTAGCAACAAGTGCCCGTCTGAAAAACGCAACTCGATGAAAACCAAATTAGTGAATAAAAGGAAAAAAAGGAAAAAGGGGAGAAAAAATAGTGTTGAGGCGGTTAGTTGCAAAATCCACACAAAGACGCGAGTGAATTCTTGCTTGATGGAGACGAGTGGCAGAGCTTCATGAGACAGGAGAACACCCCGTTGAAGCTCAATTCGATGACTAATCTGATAGCCATTAGCAACCAATGTTTTTTAAAAATTAATCGAAAGCGTTATTGATTAGTTGGTAATCGAACGAGCAGCTCCAAGATAGCTCTATGATTTTTGTTTTATAATTCCACTTTTCTAGAGCACGTGTGACGCAATGGTCGGAGACGCTCTGTAACACACACATGGAATCGATCCCCGCGCAGGTGGCCCGCCAAGCCTTCCATCCCTCCGAGGTTAGCAAACTGGTAATTGGTACCAAAGAAAGGTGTCTAGGAGAATAGCAGCACTGGCTCGGTACAGCAGTAGTCCGCTGCGAGTCATTGTAAAGGCCAGATATGCATTCAGTCACCTGCAACGATACTTAATGAAGCCGAATGCATGGTGGATCCCACAGGGATTAATCAACGCCGAAAGCTTTATCCTTTTTAAGTCCACTTTTCTGGATTCCGGAAACATGCTCCTATTGATAAGTTTTTCGAAAATCGACTGAGCAAATTTTCATTCTCAAACCTTTCTTCTACTACTTCTTTTAGCTCTGAACTCATGGTGATTCATTTCCAAATTACATAGTTCTCTAATTTCCGCCAACCGGATCTGATTAATCAGCGGCAGCGCCAATCCGATGAGAGATTTACATGTTATGCGAGTGATGAGATGATTTAGTCAACTGACCAAGAAAGGATTTTAATCATCATTTCAGTTCACATGTCATAAATATTTGTGACTATAGTGCCTCATCCACGAATGAGTGTTTCTTAAACCTTGCCTCTCTCGAAGCACATTGAGCTTGCGCAACTCAACTGCAACGCTAGCCTTAACCAACCAACTTCCTCCCGAAATACAGACGATTTATGGAAATAAACTGAAATTTTGCTATCCAGTTTTTTTTAACCCTGTGGGAATTCTCAGTTGATTGAAAGACTAGGGCTTTAAAAGTGGATATACGAAATCACTGCGGTGAGTAAAAAAAGGATAACGCTCTCGGCGTTGATCAATCCCTGAGGGATGCGTCATGCATTCGACTTCATTAAATATCGTTCGAGGTGATTGAATGCATATCTGGCCTTTAGAATGACTCGCGGTGGCCTAGCGATGCATCGAGTCAGTGCCGCTATCCTCCCAGACAAGTCTGGTACCAATTTATCGACTCCAGAAGCATGGAAGGTTTGGTGGGCCATGGGCACCAGGATCGATTTCATGTGTGTGATGCGGGGCGCTTCCGACCACTGCGTCACACATTAACCACTGTAAGATAATATTCGTTCCAACGCTGTCAAACGTGTTCTGATTGTCGACAAAGGCTAGGACAAGAGGCGGATGGTGCTCCTGACTGACTTCTATAACGCATAATTCGGTTTGGATGTGGTTTATACAGCAGAATCGTAGTGGTGGTCTGTACTTTCTGTTCGAGAAAGTGAGACGAGTTGAGCACAAGTGTGTGTCCACACTCGAGCTGATACGCCAGCGTTAAATCGCACAAGCTACAAGCAACCGCCAACTCTCATCCATACTTGCAAAATAATGATAGCCGATAAGAAAAGATCTTAACGGGAGAAGAGCAGCAGCTATGGCCGAAGCTGCAGAGGTTGGAAAGAGCCTCCACAAAGCCCACCGAAGCTTCTCCAACCGGAAAACCAAGATGATTGCCGTACGACACCCACACGGAACAGTTACAGCTTCCAGAAAGCCAATGGAGCAAGTTATTCACGATTGCTACTCAGACCTCTTTAATAGCCACGTCCTTCTGCTTTCATATGAAATAGAGGAGGTTGGAAGTGTCATACCAGCAGCTTTCTTTTCCGAAGTCCAACTTGCTATTTTTTCGGTGAAAAGTCGAGCAACACCAGGTCTCGACAGGATACGAACTGAATAACTGAAGAGCTTTCTACCAGTCCTCGTAAACATATTGGCTCGGCTCTTCGCACGTTACCTTTCTGAATGCAAGGCTCATTGAAGCTTCGCGAGAGTACAAGAGACCGCTCTGTCTCATTTCATCGATTTAAATAACACTTTTGACTCAGCTGAGATGGAAGCAGTCATGGAAGCCGTGGACAACCAGGAAGTCCTTATTCACTATACAAAAATTCTTCGTGAGCTTTATAAAAATTCCACAGCCAGCATATCTCCTTTCTAAAACGACACTAACATCGAAGTCAAAAGAGGGGTTTAGCCAAGGCGATCCCATCTCGCCAAAATTATTTACCGCCACTCT